ACTTGTTCAAGGTTTATATAGGCTAATAAAATATAGGAACACTGGGATACAACCCAGGTCTATTTTGAGAGCACGTGCTACTTATCACCAGACTAACAAATTAACATACTTGAAAGAACTACGGATGGGGGTTTATTTTCCCATTTGAGTTGGTTTATCTAAAAGACCAACAACCACAACAACAAATGTGATGAAGAAGGCAGAGAAGGACATGGCTAAGGAGTGAGAAGTGGCAAAGACATGACATCAATGATATCACGTATGTGAAAGTTTTATTAAAACTAACATTTGCTATAGTAAACAGAAGGTGTTTCCTGCAGAGAAAAATACTTTAGGATAGGCCTCTCCTAATACATTTCTAATTTCAAGTGACTCAGGTATCTGAACAGCTCATGCTATTAGTCTCCAGTTGCTGCTCCTGTTAATCACAGAAAGCAAACCTAGCCAGTTGCTACACACGTGCTAGACAGACACACACACAATGTCATCTAGCTCTCACTCCTCACTAAAGCCCTAGTCCCACTCCTCAGCCACGGTACCTCTATAACCAAAGTCCATCACCCATTCATGCAGGAGCTAATTGCAAAAGCACAGGACATTCTCCATCCACTAAGTACACCTGTGGTCCCATTTTCCTTAGTACTCCCCAAATACAATCATTCCAAGTCCCTACGGGCTGACTGGCAGGAAGCTCTGTCTTTCCAGACAATCCCATTCCCCAAAATATTTCTAGGAGTCCTAGCCCTTTTGTCTCCCCTGAGCCTCACAAGCTGCAGGACTTTTCTAAATACCTTTATCTTCCCTTTTGGTGTCCTGGGGATTGTGTTTGTGACAGCATCTCTCAGCCCCTCTGATCTGGTGGCTCTTGCTCTCAACAGTCCTTTTGCTCTGTTGTCTACTCTGCCAATATCCTCCAGACTTTAAACTCCAATGTGGCAGTGGGGTTAGTCAACCTTCTCTAAATCTACCCACAACTCTGGAGACCCCTTTCTCTGCTTATGTTTAGTTCTTTCATGGAAGAGTCACTCTCTTGGTCCTAAAACTTTTTATTCTGTCAAACTCAAGTCAATCAGCATGTTTAATGCCTCTTTTGAGCCAGGTGTTAGGTACTGGAAATGCAATGATGAATAAACAAGGTGTCTGCCTTTCAGTACTGGCATTCCAGTGGGGAAGAAAACTGCATGAACAGATAATTTCAAAATATTGTAGTAATCATACACAAATATGTTCCCAGGATAAATTGAGAACACAACAAATTCTGGTGGTTCAGAAAGTCTCCAAGAAGGAATTTCTGTCTTTAAGGATGTGTAAGACTGTGTGGATCATAACAAATTATGGATAACATTGTGAAGAATGGGAATTCCAGAACACTTAATTGTGCTAATGAGGAAACTGTACATAGATCAATAGGCAGTTGTTTGAACAGAACAAGGGAATACTGCGTGGTTTAAGGTCAGGAAAGGTGTGCATCAGCATTGTATCCTTTCCCCATACCTACTCAGTCTGTATTCTGAGCAAATAATCTGAGAAGCTGAACTATATGAAGAAGAATATGGCATCAAGATTGGAGGAAGACTCATTAACAACTTGTGAAACGCGGATGACACAACCTTGCCTGCTGAAAGTGAAGAGGACTTGAAGCACTTACTGAGGAACATCAAAGACCATAGCCTTCAGTATGGATTACACCTCTACCTAAAGAAAACAAAAATCCTCACAACTGGACCAATAAGCAACATCATGATAAATGGAGAAAGATTGAAGTTGTCAAGGATTTCATTTTACTTGGATCACAATCAACACCCATGGAAGCAGCAGTCAAGAAATCAAAAGACGCATTGTATTGGTCAAATCTGCTGCAAAAGACCTCTTTAAAGTGTTGAAAAGCAAAGATGTCACCTTGAAGACTAAGGTGCTCCTGACCCAAGCCATGATATTTTCAGTCCTTTCATATGCATGTGAAAGCTGGACAATGAATAAGTAAGACTGAATAAGAATTGATGCCTTTGAATTATGGTGTTGGTGAAGAATATTGAATATACCAGACTGTCAAAAGAATGAACAAATCTGTCTTGGAATAAGTACAGCCAGAATGTTCCTTAGAAGCAAAGATGGTGAGACTACATCTCACATACTTTGGACGTGTTATCAGGAGGGATCAGTCCCTGGAGAAGGACATCATGCTTGGTAGAGTGTCAGCAAAAAAGGGGAAGACTCTTAACAAGATGGACTGACACAGTGGCTGCAACAATGGGTTCAAGCATAACGATGATTGTGAGGATGGCACAGGACTAGACAGTGTTTCACTCTGTTGTCCATAGGGTTGCTATGGGTTGGAACTAACTTGATGGCACCTAACAACAACAACAAGAGTTGGTTAGCCAGGTAAAGAAGAAGAGGAAGAAAATCCAGTAAAGAAGATGTCTTGGATCTAGGCAAGATGGTGCATACAGGAAAAGAATAAGCAGTTCAATGCTGCTGATACCTCAAGTATGAAGCAGAGTGGGCATCAGTAAAGAAAGGGGTAGATATGAACAATATTATGGAAGGTTTTACATCGCCATGTTAAGAAGCATGGATTCAACTCTGTTGTTGTTGTTGAGTGCTTTCTAGTCGATTCTGACTCGTAGGGACCCTATAGGACAGAGTAGAATTCCCCATAGAGTTTCCTAGGCTGTAAATCTTTACCAGAGCAGATCACTAGGTCTTTTTCCCATGGAGCTGCTGGGTGGCTTTGAACCACCAACCTTTCAGTTAGCAGCTGAGTGCTTAATTGTTGTGCCACCAGGGATCCTTATTCAACTCTGTAGTGGGTGGTTTTTTTTAAGCTTCCTACATCACAATAAATGCTATGGCCTCGTTTCTCCAAAAAAAAATTGTCCATATGCACTACATAGACCCACAGATACACGTAGATATATAGACACATACAAAGTTGCACACAATTTCTGCCACCCCAACCACACCTCTAGAAGTCAATCCAAGTACTTACTACACATTTAAAACATTAATGATGGAGATAGGGGTGGTGAAGGGGATCCCTTGAAGTATTTTAGGCAGAGAATTACATGACCACATACTGTTTTAAATATATTGTTGTTGTTAGTTGCCATCAAGTCAGCCCAGACTCATGGCGACCTCATGTGTTACAGCAGAGAACTGCTCCATGAATTTTTTTGCCTGTAATCTTCACAGAAGCAGTTCACCAGGCCTTTCTTCTGCAGAGCTCCTGGGTGAGTTTGAACCACCAACCTATAGGCTAGCACCCTAATGAAAACCAGTTGCACCACCCAGGCTTCTTCTAAATACATTACTGTGAAATTTTATGACAGACAAGTCTGGAGGCAGGGAGTGTATTTATACAGTTTGTATTTCAGACAAGAGATGACAAAGTTGTGAACTTGGGCATTAGCGGTAAGGCTGGAGAAGAGACAATAAAAGTAGCACTCTTGGTGAGTGAATGATGGTGAGTCATGAGTAAGAAAAGGCGCCAGAGCTAACTTTGGGTTTCCAGCTTGAGAAACAGGGTGAAATTTTAGGACAGAAATCAGGTTGGGAGGAAAGGCAATCAGTCTACTTTTGGACATCTCGAGCTCCAAAAGTCTGAGGAAGAGCCAGGCAATTGGATATACTAAAGTCCTGACGAGTGGTCAAGGCTGGTGATACAGATTTGTGGGATCATATAACAATCTACCAATTACATTTTCATTTCACTAAAGTACTAAAGCCCTAGTGGCGCAACAGTTAAGTGCTCTGCTGCTAACCAAAAAGTTGACTGTTCCAACCCACCCAGCGTCTCTACGGGAGAAAAGATCTGGCAGTCTGATCCCCTAAAGATTACAGCGGTAGAAAACCCTATGGGGCAGTTCTACTCTGTCACATGGGGTCGCTATGAATCCACGGCACCTAACAACAACAACAATCCAGTTTTAGGGGATCGCATAAGGAGTGAAATACGAGTGAAAAGCTGCAGTGGGGGGCGGGAGAGAAGGAGGAAGGAATGCTATAATTTCCCAGTAGAGGGAACCAGTCTGTGCAAAACCTCTGCGACAAGACATGGGAATAAGAAATATTAAGTCGTTCCCTGTTTTGCAGCACTATCCCAGAATAACTGTAGGATTCAAGGATATCAGGAAGTATGTGAACGCACTTTGCACAGCAATTCGCCATTTAAATTACGATACTGTTATTAATAAGCGAAGTCCTGCACCTACTAGTCGCTTATTATCTGATAGTCCCTGATATTCAAACAAGGAGAGGGACTTCAGGTGAAGGCGCAGCTTCTGTGACTTACACATTGGATCCTGGGACTTCAACCCCAACCCTCTACACAAGTAGGGTTATAATCTGCAGTCAAAACTGTAGGACTGAGTGGGGGCGGTGTCTCCTTGACAACGGATCTCATTGGCCTTTCAAAGTGAAACCGTTGGAGGATTGGCTGAAGAGGTAGCCAGAAGCCTGCCCCCTGTCGCTGATTTGACGACAGGCGGCCAAACTCCCACCTCTTTCTCTCCGCTTTCCCACAGGGGCCTGTTGCTTGGCAACCGGTTTGCTTCCTTCAGCTAAGCAAACATGCTTTTATACCTGTGAAGCGAAGAGATTATTCTTCGGCCGCCTCACTCTTAACACCGTTCACGCCCATTTACTTCTCAATTCACGCATCAACGATCCTCACACGAGGTTGTCCCAACTGTTCACCCAAGTTTGCAGTGGCTGGCGCTGCGGTGACAAGCTGCGGACGAAAAAGTGCCGAAGTTTTCCTTCTTGGCACTTACCAAGTTCTCCCCGTTTAGAGGATTCCGAAGAGAAAAGAAACTCACTGTTATATCCCAAACTTAGAAGCACCTTATCTTGGGGGACACACCGTTCTGAGGCTCTGGAAAGCAAGTAACTTTAGTCAGTTAACTAAGTGTGGGAGGGTGACCCATAACTTCAGACAGCTGCCCCAAAGTAAACGTAAAGAGTCTGGGGACAAGTACCAGACCTTCTACTGCCTTATCATGCACTGCAGAGCTTACCTCTTGCTAGAAAGAGACTTCCAGGAGTTAATGGAGAACAATTATAAGGTGAGTACTGAGGACAGGAGGGATGGGATAATAATTTTTAAAAAGCAGTTTTACTGGTGTTCAGCCTGTAAGGCATAATTTAGTTAATCTGAATTTGCCACTACAGTATTGTTATTTAACGAATATATGTCACTATAATAATCTATTTCACAGTAATAATTTCATAATACTATATTCATGTATAATTCTAGTATATTGATTATATTTAATTATTTAATAATGTTATTTCATCATCATAATAATGGTTACCAATACAGAGCACATAACCAAAAACCCATTGCCAGCAAGTCCATTCCAACTCATAGTGATTCCGTAGGACAGAGTACAGCTGACTTCTAGGGCTTCCCAGGAGCCACTGGTAGATTTGAACTGCTGACCTTTTGGGTAGCAGATGTAGCTCTTAACCACTGTGCCACCAGGGTTTCCACACAACACATCGTGCTGGGTAATTTATGTGAACATACCCAAACCAAAACCCACTGCCAGTGAATCATTCTGACTCATAGCGACCCTATAGGACAGAGTAGACTGACCAATAGGATATCCAAGGCCGTAAATCATTACGGAAGCAGACTGCCACATCTTTCTCCCTCAGAGCTGTGGGTGAGTTTGAACAGTCATAAACTTTAACCACTGCGCCACCAGGGCTCCTTTATGTGAATGTAAGCATGTAATATCAGGGTTTACCAGGTATTAAGTGACTAGTAGAGCCCTGATGGCACAGTGATTAAGAGCTCAGGCTGCTAACTAAAAGGTCAGTAGTTAATCCACCAGCTGCTCCTTGGAAACCCTATGGGCCAGTTCTTCTCTGTCCTATAGGGTCACTATGCGTTGGAATGGACTCCACTGACAACAGGTTGGTTGGTTGGTTTTTGATTTAGTAGGTGCAGGGTTGCACTCACTAATTACAATACAATAAAATAAATAGTCTGTTTTATTTTAACTACCAGAAACCTAAGCCTCACAAAAGTTCAATAAAAACTTGGCCCCAGGATTCCATTTCAGGGTTTTCTGGCTTCAAAACCCTTCGTCTAGATTAACAGTAAGGAAGGCAATAGTCTATGCCCCGAATGTCACCAATGAGGTTACCAATGTCCCTGGGTACTGCAGGCTGATTTAGCACATAAAGTATGAAGGAAAAAAAAAAACATAAACAGAAGAGGGGTCAGGGGGAGAGGATGTGTTTAAGAAAAAGACTAGAAGAAAGCAGTACATAGGAGGAAGGTATAGAGTGCTACCAACCATTGCTTCGGGTGTAGTTCAGTGGCATTGTTCTGTTTCCAATCTTCCTATAAAATAATGCCTTCACTGGAGATGTTGTTGTTATGTGCTGTCGAGTCAATTCCGACCCATAGTGACCCAGCAGGACACAGTAGAACTGCCCCATAGGGTTTCCAAGGAAAGGCTGGTGGGTTGGAACTGCTGACCTTTTGGTTAACAGCCAAGCTCTTAACCACTGCACCACCGCTGGAGACATTAGGGACAGTTATTGAGTCCAACAACAAGCATCCCAGAGGCATATGAATCTAACATTTGATATTGTTTCTGCTGAATCTGAACTTCCTGGTTCTCTGGTGAAAGAGAATTCCATGAAGGCTGAAGTGATATGTAAATATAGATAATGTAGATAATAGAGATATATTATAATGTCACCCACACTAGCACTTAGCATACTTAATAATTATATGGTTGCTCAGAAATATTTATTGATACTCCTTAGCATAATCATAACCCTTTCTATGAAATATTTTCTTGTCCCTCTCACTGGGGCAATATGTCAAATGTAGGAAAAATTTTATTTTTATATATAAATGTAATTTCCATTTGTGTTTTTTCTTAATGGGAATTTTCTTGCTTCATGTCTTCCATATAGCATTCATATAGCTTTAAAAAATATTCAAAGAAATGTAAGCTTTCCAACTATTTCCTTCTCTTCTAATTTGATCTTAAACTGGTTGTAAACTTACGTAAACACTATATAAGCCACATGGCCCAATCTTGACTTCTAGTCCACTTGTGATTTCCATGTTTATGATTGATTTTTCATTTACTAATACATGTGTTTCCTAGAAGCCACCTTAAGTTCTATGTAATAAGGAAATAAATAATACCTCCCCAGGTCAAAAATACATAAATCAATCAGGAAAAGAAAATTTAGAGCTTTTGGAATTCAATGTAACCTAGTATCTGATTTTCCAAACTTCAATAAATACATAATCTTTTTCTATCTGCTTTTATTTATTTATTTTTAATTTAAGGGTATTATTGCGTTTCCTGTAAGTGAAGATATGATGCAATGGGAAGCTGAAATTGAAGGTCTACAGTATTCAGTTTGGCATGGTTTGTGGTTTCAAAACAAACTTCCTTTTTAAAAAGCTTTATGCCATTATTAGCATATCTTCTTTATATGTATAATAAAGTTGCATTATATAAATTCTCTAGAATTTTTCTTTATATGTATAAGATTGCATTCCCTAGAATGCTAACAGTATTCACATGTTATTTTTTCACTATACGCTTCTTTATTTTTTGTCATTTGTAAACATAGATGGAAATTTGGGGTTGGAATTTTCCTTTATCCTAAATCTTAATATGACTACATTTTTAAGAAGTAAGCATAATAAAACATAAAATGATACTAGCTTTCAACAATCTTCCATGAAATCAGAGAATAGCGATTAAAATTCCTATCAGTTTCAAAATCTTATTGTTCCCCCCAAATTTCCATAAATCAAATTTTCAGATATACTGGACCACTATAAACTTTTAATCTTTCAATCATAGATTAACAAAACTGATTCCTTGAGTGAGGTAGGGTAGACAGACCTATAAGCTGATAATTGCAATAAAATACAATACATGCTATTACAAAGTATGAACAGAATGCTGAGAAGGGAGTGATTAATTAATTTGCCTAAACAAATCAGGAGTGGCTTCCCAAAGAGGTTACATTTGACTTGAGTCCTGAAGAATGAGTAAGATTTTGCCAGGTTCCAAAGGAGAGGAAGGAAATTCAGGCAGAATAAACAGCATGGCAAAAGGCTGGCAGACAAGAAAGGTACAGCAGGTTTTGGAAATGGTGAGTTCAGTCAATATGAGATATACAATGGAAGGAGTATCAGGGGGATTGAGTATAGAGGGACTGAGGTAGTCGGTAGAAGGGACTGGTGGGAAACAGGCAGAAAATGTAGTGGGATTAGGTTGTGAAGAGTTTATTATACTATGCAGAGTGGTCTATGTGTCCTTTTTAAAAGTCAACCAAACTGCCTCATAGTGGCCCTATAGGACAGAGTGGAACTGCCCCATAGGGTTTCCAAGGAGCGGCTGGTGGGTTGGAACTGCTGACATTTTTGTTAGCAGCTGTAGCTCTTAACCACTATGTCACCAGGACTCTTAAAAGTCAACAAAGTTCTTTAAATAGGAAAGAGTGTGATCCAATTTACTTAAAAATAAAACTCTAAGGACTGTGGGGAAGCTGTGGGGAGAGAGTATAGTGTTAATCAAGTACAAAATGACACTTTAGTAAAAATGTTTATTTCTATGTCATAGGATTATTTTTCCAACTGTCAATAAATTTTACATCGGAATACAATTTGCTTCCCCCAGATGTCAAATTTAGAACAATTCCTTTTCATCCAAATGGTAAGGATCAAATGAAAATTTTATCATCAGTGCCAGTGTCCCTATTATTCTTGTTATTTATTAGTGTTTAATAGCCATGTTCCTTTTTAACAGCTTTGTTATGATTATAAAAGTATGCATGATCATTGTGGAAAATATGAAAAGGCAGAAGACATTAACAATCACCAGGTCTTTTCCTGCATTATTAAACATTCTTCCAAAGATCATTTTTAATGACTGAATGATAAATGTAACCATTTCCCTATTTTTCAAAATTTAGGTTGTGTCCAATTTTTTATTATTATAAAAATGATGCATTTGACAAATTAATCTTTTAGAAAAAAGTTAAATTGCTACTTTAAGTTAAAGACAAAGTGAATTCCTGATGGATCAAAAATTTAAAAATTTTAAATTCTTTAAAAAAAGAAGAAAATCTGATAGACTTTCTTGTGGGCTTGTGAGGAAGGCCTAAGTACTATCAAACCCAGAAACCGTGCGAAAAGCATGACATGTATAACTACATAAACTTTTATTTTATTTTTTTATTGTTGTAAAAATATAGATAACACATTTGCCAATTCAACATTTTTCACTTAAACAATCCAGTGAGATCAATTACATCAATCATGTACTATCATCACCAGTATCCTTAGCCACATTTTCCATCACCATAAACAAAAACTCAGTGCTTTCTAAACAATAATTTCCCCTTACTTCCTCTCCCTCCCACTCCTGGTAACCACTGCTAAACTCTGATCTCCATATATTTGCCTGTTTTGGGTACTTCATATTAGTGAGATCATACAATATGTGTCCTTTTGTGATTGACTTATTTTACTCAGCATAATGTTTTCAAGGTTCATCCATGTTGTGGCATATATCGGGATTTCATTTCTGTTTATGGTAGAGTAATATTCCATTGTATGTATATACCACATTTTCTTTATCCATGTTGTTTATCCGTTGATGGGTATTTGGGTTGTTTCCACCTTTGGGCTATTGTGAATAGTGCTGCAATGAACACTAGTGTACATCTGTCTGCTGGTATCGCTACTTTCAAGTCTCTTGGATATATACCTAAGAGTGGAATTGCTGGGTCATATGGTAACTCTATGTTTAACTTCTTAAGGAACTGTCAAACTCTTTTCCACAATGGCTGTACTGTTCTGCATTCCCACCAGCAATAGATGAGGGTTCCAATTTCTCTGCATCCTCACCAACATTTGTTATTTTCTTTCTCTAATCTTAGCCATCCTAGTGGAAATAAAGTGGTATCGTTGTGGTTTTGATTTGCATCTCCCTAATGGCTAATGACATTGAGCATCTTTTCATGTGCTTGTTGGGCATTTATATATCCTCCTTGGTGAAATACCTGTTCAGATCCTTTGCCCATTTTTTTTATTGGGTTGTTTGTCATTTCCTTGCTAAGTTGTATGAGTTCTTTATATGTTCTGGATATAAATGCTTATCAGATAAATATTTCCCAAAATGTTATCCCAGTCTGTAGGTTGTCTCTTCACTTTGTTGATAAAGTCCTTTGATGTACAGAAGTTTCAAATTTTGATGTGATCCCGTTTATCTATTTCGTCTTTTGTTACTTGTGCTTTTGGTATCATATTTAGGAATCCATTGTTGAAGACTAAGTCCCGAAGCATTATCCCTACAGCCAAAGGCATGGTAAACAAAGATAAAGACAATGACTTTCACAAACGGAGGGAAAATATTTGCAATGCACAAAACAGAGTATCTGTAACATATAAATAGCACTTGTGAATGAATAAGAAAAAGAACATAAGGCAATAAAAAAATGGATAAAGTCTATCAACAAACATTTGATAGAAGAAACATAATATAAAAATAAATATAAAAAGATGTTAAGCCTCACTAGTAAGACAATAAATGCAAATTAAAACCAATATAAATATTGTTATTCATTATATATGTTTACAAAATGTTAAAAGATAATAACATACCATTTTAGTAGAGGGGACAGACATGGGTCCTCTGACATAATAAAGACCTTAGTGTGACTTTTTGTGGAAGCAATTTGACAGTGTCCAGTCAGACTGAAAATTAATATAGCCCTAAATCCCTGTAATACCATGCTTATAAAGCTATTCTGTAGACTAACACAAGTGTGCAACAATATGATATATTTAAAGATATTTATTCCCAAGAGCAATGTTGGCAATAGAGAAAAATGGAAGAAAACCTCAATGTTCATTAATATAGTAATTTTTAAGTGAAATATCCTACAGCCATATGTAATACTTATAACCAGAATAAGGAAGATTTATGAGGGCTAGACTTTTGGTCATTGCTACATCTCTAGAATCTTCACTGCCTGGCAGTGCTCCAATATTTTTTGAATGGGTGTGTATATATGGAAATATGTTTACAACTTACTGTTAAATGAAAAAAGCACTTGAATAGACCAAACCATTAATAACTTTGAAGAGTGGCCATTAGTAGGCAGGGGAATATTCATATTTTCTTTCATGTAATTCTAATTTTTCCCAAGCACATTATTACTTCTGTAATTGAAATATATTTTAAAAGGATACACTGAAATTTATAATAAAACTTTTGTTGTCTATATGTGCTGCTATTTGCTTAAAATAGATATTTAGGAGTGGAATTACTGGATTAAATATGGTAGGAGGCTTATGAATCCCCCAGTCCTCGCCTTCCCATTTCCGTAAGAGTAGAGGGAATTTTTCCTCTTTAATCAAATCTTGTTGCCTTGGACCTATAGCGACCCTATAGGACAGAGTAAAACTGCCTCGTAGGGTTTCCAAGGCTGTAATCTTTAAGGACACAGACTGCTACATTTTTGTCCCGTGGAGTGGCTGATGGATTCGAACTGCCAGCCTTCCGTTTAGCAGCTGAGTGCTTAAGCACTGTGCCACCAGGGCTCCTTTCCCCTCTTTGTTGTTGTTAGGTGCCATCCAGTAGGTTCTGACTCATAGTGATCTTATGTACAACAGAAAGAAACACTGCCCGGTCCTGCGCCATCCTCACAATCCTTGTTTTGCTTGAACCCATTGTTGCAGCTATTGTGTCAATCCATCTTGTTGAGGGTCTTCCTTTTTTTCACTGACCCTCTACATTACCAGCCATGATGCCTGTCGCCAAAGACTGATCCCTCCTGATAACATGTCAAAAGTATGTGAGACGTCTCACCATCCTTGCTTGCAATGAGCATTTTGGCTATACTTCCAAACAGATTTGTTCGTTCTTTTGGCAGTCTATGGTATATTCAATTTTCTTCACAAACACCACAATTCAAAGGCGTCAATTCTTCTTCCATCTTCCTTATTCCTTGTCCAGCTTTCACATACATATGAGGCAATTGAAAAAACCATGGCTTGGATCAGGTGCACCTGAGTCTTCAAGGTGACGTCTTTGCTTTTCAACACTTTAAAGAGGTCTTTTGCAGCAGATTTGCCCAATGCAACACGTCTTTTGATTTCTTGACTGCGGCTTCCATGGGTGTTGATTGTGGATCCAAGTAAATGAAATCCTTGACACCTTCAATCTTTTCTCTGTTTATCATGATGTTGCTTATTGGTCCAGTTGTGAGAATTTTTGCTTTCCTTATGTTGAGGTGTAATCCATACTGAAGGCTGTGATCTTTGATCTTCATCAGTAAGTGCTTCAAGTCCTCTTCACTTTCAGCAAGCAAGGCTGCATCATCTGCATATCACAGGTTGTTAACGAGTCTTCCTCCAACCCAGATGCCACGTTCTTCTTCATATAGTCCAGCTTCTCAGATTATTTGATCAGCATACAGATTGAATAGGTATGGTGAAAGGATACAACCCTGATGCACACCTTTCCTAACTTTAAACCACACAGTATCCCCTTGTTCTGTTCGAACGACTGCCTCTTGATCTGTGTACGGGTTCCTCATGAGCACAAGTAAGTACTCTGGAATTCCTGTTCTTCCCAATATTATCCATAATTTGTTATGATCCACACAGTCGGATGCTTTGCGTAGTCAATAAAACACAGGTAAACATCTTTCTGGTATTCTCTGCTTTCAGCCAGGAGCTATCTGACATCAGCAGTGATATCCCTGGTTCCACATCCTCTTCTGAATCTGGCCTAAATTTCTGACAGTTCCCCATTGATATACTGCTGCAGCCGCTTTTGAATGCTCTTTAGTAAAATTTTACTTGCTTGTGATATTAATGATATTGTTTGATAATTTCTACATTCTGTTGGGTTACCTTTCTTGGGAATAGACATAAATATGGATCTCTTCCAGTTGGTTGGCCAGGCAGCTATCTTCCAAATTTCTTGGCATAGACAAGTGAGTACTTCCAGTGCTGCATCCATTTGTTGAAACATCTCAACTGGTATTCCACTGATTCCTGGAGCCTTGTTTTTCGTCAGTGCCTTCAGTGCACCTTGGACTTCTCCTTCAGTACCATCGGTTCTTGATCATATGCTACCTCCTGAAATGGTTGAACGTTGACCAATTCTTTTCGGTATAGTGACTGTGTATTCCTTCCATCTTCTTTTGATACTTTCTGCATCGTTTAGTATTTTCCCCCATAGAATCCTTCACTATTGCAACTCGAGGCTTGAATTTTTTCTTCAGTTCTTCCAGCTTGAGAAATGCCGAACGTGTTCTTCCCTTTTGGTTTTCTGTCTCCAGGTCTTTACATATGTCATTATAGTACTTTACTTTGTCTTCTCAAGCTGCCCTTTGAAATCTTCTGTTCAATTCTTTTACTTCATCATTTCTTCCTTTTGCTTTAGCTACTCGATGTTCAAGAACAAGTTTCAGAGTCTCTTCTGACATCCATTTTGGTCTTTTCTTTCTTTCCTGTCTTTTTAATGTAGGTTGCTTTGAGTTGGAATCGACTTGATGGCAACAGGTTTAGTCAAGGATAAGTCATAGTTCCCCTCTCTAGGAGGGAAAAATATGGGAAAACTTGTGATTGTTCTTTTCTCCCTCACACCCTCCTCCCAAGGAGAGGTGACTTATATGCTCAGGGAGATCGAAGAGGGAATTGAGCTTGGAATTTAGCACATTCTCAGTACACTATCTTTCCAACCCACCTGACCTTGGAATAGGTGCAGTCTCTGTTTCTTGGCAGGAAATTTCGGGATCAGGCCTGCAGCTTGGGAGTTAAGTTTAAATTAGGGGAACTTTTGTGGAGCTTGATTGAAATAAATGCGTTCTCCATATCAGTCTTACATACCGTATAGCTGATGTTTTTACTTCCATCTTTGGACACTTTGGTCTATTAAATTATATATGAATTTGGGAGAGACAGAAAGGGGTATTATTTATTAGCCCTCAAACTCCAAAAGATAGTTATGTATAGTTCTAAGTCTTAGGATACATAAAGCCAAATTGCCTTTCAGTGATATTATTTACACTCCCACCAGAAAGTATAAATAAAGTACTCATTTTAACACTACAATTCTGGGCATTGAAATTTTGGATAAATTTTTACCAATTTAAAAAAAAAAAAGCATGCTATTATTTGTATAAGCATTTCTTTGAATACTTGCGAGTTAAATATTTTTTCCATATTTTTATTGGTTGTATTTCCAATTTGGGGACTTGTCTGACATATTAACAATGTTATCACATTGTCTTAGATGCTGCAAATATTTCCCCTAGTTTGTCATCAGTTTTTAAATTTTGTTTACATTTTCTTTTTGTCTGCGATTTAAAATTTTGTATATAGTCAGGTCCATTCTTCTTTCTTATGATTGAATTGTGTTTCCCAAAAATATATGTTGTAAATCCTAACGCTTATACCTGTGTTATAATACTATTTGGGCACAGGGTTTCTCTGTTATGTTAATGAGGCAGTATTAGTGTAGGGTGTGTCTTAGGTCAATCTCTTTTGACATATTAAAGATCAGATTAAGCAAGCAAGCGGGACAAACAGAGGGGAAGATACATGCCATATGATCACAGCAGAACCAAGGAATAGAAGCTGAAAAGCTGGAAAGAGACAAGGATTTTCCCTCAGAGCTGACAGAGACAAACTTCCTTCCTCTACAGCCAGCACCCTGAATTCGGACTTCTAGCCTCCTAAACTGTGAGAAAATAAATTTCTATTGTTAAAGCCACCAACTTGTGGTATTTCTGTTATAGCAGCACTAGATAACTAAGACAGTCTTGTCCTTTGAGATTTCTTCAATTGTCTTTAGCTTTAATGATCCTTCACCAAAATAAAATAGTCATTTTAATTTTCTTCTAGTCATTCTAGTTTTATTTTTCATATTTAATTCCTTTTTTTTCCCAAATACTGAATTAGTTAATTAACTGTGTTAGGGGATAGGCCAAGTTCTTCATATCCTTCCAATCTAATATAATAAACCGGGGCTGGCAGAGAAGTTCTGCCATCCTTAACATGTGGCTTCCATTTCTGGATGTAAGGCATTTACTGTTTGTCACCATTTTCAGCCCATGGGAAGGGGAAGAAAGAGAGTGAGGCAGGCAAAACAGCTTTCTTAAGAAACCATGATCCAAAATTGCACGCTCCACTTCTGCTTGTATTCCATTATTAAAACTTGGTCGTACGGCCACATCTAGCTAGAGGAGAGACTGAGAAAAACAGCCAGGACAACCACGTGTTCAGCGAAAACTGGTGGCAAGAAGGAGGTAGTGTTTCTTATTACAGAGGGAAGCAAGAGAGTAGTTACTGGAAGACAATGAGTAGTTTGTGTAACACTTTTTTGTACCATTTATTGATAATCGTTTTTTTCACTACTGATTCATAATTTCACTTTTAACATATAATAATAATTTTAATGCATACAAGGATTTGTTTCTAAATTCTTTTATTATATTGTTCTGTCTGTCTAATCTTGTGGCACACCACACTGTTATAATTATTGTCATTTTACAGTGCATCAATGAGTGAGAATGTGTACTCTGTTAAAAATAAAAGCAAGGAGATTTATTGAAGGTTCAAGACAGTTTGAACCAAAGACATGTCTTATCTCACAAAGTGAAACTAAATGCTCCAAAATAGTGGAGTCACAGAGGCATAGTTAGACATATTTATACAACATTCTGATTGGAAGTTGCAAGATTAGGTAAGCAGGACGCAGGACAACTTGAAGCAGGGACTTTACAGTGGTTGGTTGGAAACACAAATGTGGGCTCACTACAGTGATTGGTTGGAAACATGAACGTGGGCTATTTGGATTGGTTAGTTTAAATACATGACTAAGGGGGGGTTTACAGGGTGGTCACAAGATAATTATCTTAAAACATTTCCTGAGGGTTGCTGAGGGGATCCCTAATAAGGGTCTTGTGTCAATGCCCTCCCTTAGGAACATTCTTTCCATAGTTTAACCACAGAGAAAAAACATTTCCTTTGTTACATACTTAAGTTCATCTAAGGATTTGATGGTTGTAGGGGAAATCCTTTGTTATGTATTTAAGTCTAACTAAGGGTTTGATGGTTGCAAGGGAAATAAGCAAAAGCTAAGATGGAATCGAGGCTTAGTCCTCAGGGGATCAATCTGACAAATGTCAGGTGCCTCAATTTTGGAACTCTCACACAAATGCCATATGATATAGTAAACCAAAGACCACTCTTTTTGCTTCTCTTTTTCAAAAATTTCTTCTTGGTTCTTTTTATTGCAAGGGTTTTCTACTGGAGTTTAAGTGTTTTTATTATTCATTTGTAAAATTATTTACACATTAATAATATTATTGCTAATAATAGCTATCTTTTTTTGAGGATTCAGTATATGCTAGGCACATTCTTTTATTGATTCTTTACAGTGAACTATATGCTAGGTACTTTTATCATTATCTCCATTTCACATATTATGAAACTGAGACCTAAAGAGGTAAAGTTAATTGCTCACCATCAATTGGTGGGGGAGCCAGGGTTCAAATCTATGTGTATTTGACACTGTATTAACTTTCTGTCTTTCATATTTGTTGTAAATAATTTTTCTGGTTTGTCATTTGCTTTCTAATTTTGCCTATGATAATTTGATGTTTGTAAGTTTTAAATCATAATTATACGTATCAATGTTAATATTTTATTTTAATACAGTAGACAAAGATACTGGTCGGCCCTGTATAGAGTTTTTGGATGACCCTGATCAGTGGAATACAAGCTATAAACTGAGCAGCATCTTACTTACCCTTCAGGTAAGAGCAGATTAGTATAATGTTCTCGTTAATACTTTTAATTACTCCAATTATTCAAACTGTAATGAATAAAATGCACAAACATATGTTAATGTTTAAATGATTAGAGCAAGCTTATTTAAATCAGCAACTTTCTTTCTACATCAAGACTATGAGATAGAACTTGAATTATAAAGACAATTATTTAAAAGTGAAATTGATAGTTAAGGCTCTTCACAACTGAAGATATATATTTTATAAAAGAAGAAAATAATTGTCTGGATAGTTTTAATTCTAGAAATATAGTCCTAGGTTTTCTTTCAGCTCCTAACTCCACTGCTTAATATTGAAGAGGTCTTTTAGATCTTTCTTCATTCATGGACTTTTTCTTCCTTAAATAGGTGAAAAGTGACAACAACTTCAAATGTTCAGCTTCATCCTTTGTTTTTGACAGTACTAGCTTATAAATTTTCATATCAAACCCAGTGAGCATTTAAACCAAGGACATTTTCTCCCCTCAAGTAGATGCCTATTTCCAGAATGCCTCCTTTACCCACTGGGACCACTGTCCTTTGAAGTATACCTCATTGTTGTGTTACTCCTGACCCTCAAAGAGCCTTCTTTCTCATCTGAACTAGAATAAATTATTTCAGTGGCACTCACTTTGACAACTAACATCCAGCTTAGCAGTATTTTACCCATGGGCCTATTTATTAATAATGTCCAAAGATAAAATATTAAATTTTAATTACCTTGAATAGTTTGAGAATAAAGTATTCTGGCTTAATTGAATTTTATCAATCACCTAAAATTATACAAATTCCATTTCTCTCATTTCTTATTATTGAAAATAAACTAATACTAATTTTTCTGGTTAGTCATCTGAGCATACTGAGTAAAATTTAATCTTCTTTAAAGATTTAACATTCAATTTATTTATATACTGAACAAATATGTATTGAGCATCTACCTGTGACAGGTCTTATTCAGGGAAGGAGATATTTGAACAAAGACTTAAAGGAAGTAGTGTGATATGCAGATGAGTCATATTCCTGTCTATTCCACATAAACTAGGGTCTTCCACAAGAATAGTGTCTTATCCTGTGTTCTCTAAAGAAGTGAAACCAGTAAAGCATATATATATATATAGAGAGAGAGAGAGAGAGAGATTTATATCAAGGAAATGGCTCACATGGTTGTAGAGGCTGGAAAATCCTAAATCTATGGGTGAGGCTGGACCAAGAATTATGTATCCAGCAAAACTGTCACTCAAATATGATGGCGAAATTAGGGCATTTCCAGATAAACAGGAGTTTAGGGAATTTGCAAAAACCAAATGAAAATTACAAGAAATACTAAAGGGAATTCTCCAGTTAGAAAATCAATAACATCAGATAACAACTCAAGACTAGAACATAGGACAGAGCAACCAGATATCAACCCAGATAGGGAAGTCACAAAAATAAATCAAAGCTAAAACACTGAAAATAGGGAAACA